CCCGGGTCCGCAGGCCAGCTTGTCCCAACCCCTGGAAGAGGGCCGCGCTTCCGAGGGGGCAGGGGGCAGAGGGTAGGGGGCCCACGCCTCCGCCCCATTCTGACCCGTAGGTTTTCAAACTTGCCGGTGTCTACCAGACCCTGAATTCAAAATCTTGAACTACCCGATCCCACGGGACTAAGGCAGAAGAGGGTCGCAGGGGGCCGTGGTGCCGGAAGTCCAGTCTGCAAATAATGGAGGAAGCTGTCAGGCCACACTAGCGGTTCCAGCGCCCTTGGCTCTCAGCCCTCACCGCGGCCCACACCTGCCGGGAATACTCTGCACTCTGCCTGCCACGACGGCAGGTTAGAAAATGATTTTGTTTGTTTACAATGAAAAGTAGTAGAGCTAAAGAATAATATGCACAAAATGTGACATCCTGCGTGATGAAACCAGAGCAAAGGAGCCCTAAATGCAGGAGCGCACAGGTGTCCCCGCAGCCGAGAATCAGCGCCTGACCGCAGAGCCCGGGGCAACCGACAGGTGAGCGCTCCCGGGCCTGAGAACGCCAGGGAGAGGCCGGGCCACCGAGGTCCAAAGCAGCAAGTGTGCCCTCGGGGGAGCTTGTGCAATAGCCCCAGTCACAGAGGCAAAGCTCAGAAACAACCCTGTCGGGTGTTCTGGCCAGCAACTGCTGCAAGCAGCCTCCTGAGTAAGCCCAAAGCCACTGATTTCCAGTCACTATGGATTTGGGGCTCAGGTGGGGAAACAGGGAGGAAATGCAAAGATTAATAAACTAGTTCATAGTCTCCATTTTTCTCTCAGAGTGCAACATGGTAAAGTATTTTCCTCCCCCATGCTCATGTATACACACAGCTGCACAACCGAATGCCGGAATGATTCTGTGCCATTCAACCTTTAATTACATAAGCTGTTTTCAAAAATCACATTCAGCGTGGATTTTTTCCAGAGATGCTGGAGTTGGCAGATGGCCAGCACGAAGCTCTCCACTTTCCACAAATGGTCTCTGCCAGCTTGGGAAGAAGCCCCATGACCTGTGTCCTGAGAAGTCAGAGAGCAAGGGCCCAAAAGCCATGGCAGGGTGGAGCTGTGTAGAGGGCGGCCAGGTGGCCAGCTCGCAGATTCCATCCAGAGAAGAGACTCAAGGATCATGCCAAGTAGGGAATGGGGTTCCCACATGTCCTCAGGGATTCAACTTCTGGGCAAGGGTCCATAATGAAGGGAGACTTCAGCCCTCAAAGCCTCTTGCTCCTACTCAGGTCTGGGCAGGAGGTCCTGCTGCCAAGCAGCTCCTCCCACCCCTCACCTGCTTTCTGCCAGGAGAGACCTCTGTGTAGAGCTGGCTGTGAGGTACCTGCACCATTTAACCTCATTCTCATTTCCGTGTTTCCATCCATGAATCATCTGTGTGTGCACCTATTTCCATACCATCCCCAGGGCTTCAGGTGGGCAAGGGGCTCAGAGTTTACAGGTAGCCTGAGCCACTTTGGAGCTAGTTTTTCTGTTCAGGGCTTGACAGATAAAGTTCCCAGCTTCCAGAAGCTTCTGGAGATTCACACCCTTTGAGAAACAAGTTAGAGGATATGGTAAGTCATGGGCATAGCCCTCAACACCAAGGAAAACATCAGCATGGATAGACAACTGTGGTACTGAAAAAGTAAAGGTGAAGAGAAACAGGCTTTTTCCTTGACAGCGGGGCACCAGCTGCCTGTGAGTTCCTGTCTGTCTGGCACCTGGATTATTCCTCTGACTCCCCCTCATGTAAGATGCCCAATCTGTATAATGGTTTGTAGTGCCACTACCAGGGCACAGATCTCATCAGTCTTGTTCAGTACTCCCTCTTCAGGGCCCAGCACAGGGCCTGGTCCACAGAGGTAAAAAACTGATATTCAAGTGAGGATTGTGAGGCAGAGAGGGAGGGATAAAAACACCAACTGAAAGGGCCAGGCAGAAACCCTCTCTTCATACAGTAGCTCATATTTGCTGAAATGCACTCTGTGTTCAGCTCTGTGCTAAGCATTCTACATAAGGTTTCTTTTTATTTTTTTATTTTCTGGAGACAGTTTTGCTCATGTCGCCCAGGCTGGAGTGCAATGGCGCGCTCTCGGTTCACTGTAACCTCCACCTCCCGGGTTCAAGTGATTCTCCTCCCTCAGCGTCCCAAGTAGCTGGGGTTACAGGTGCCTGCCACCACACCCAACTAATTTTTGTATTTTTAGTAGAGAAGGGGTTTCACCATGTTGGCCAAGCTGGTCTCCAACTCCTGACCTTAGGTGATCTGCCCGCCCTGGCCTCCCAAAGTGCTGGGATTACAGGCGTGTGCCACCGTGCCCAGCAATTTTTCTATTATTAGTAGAGACAGGGTTTCACCATGTTGGCCAGGCTGGTCTCGAATTCTTGACCTCAGGTGATCCACCCGCCTTGGCTTCCCAAAGTGCTGGGATTACAGGTGTGAGCCACCACGCCTGGCCCTCTACATATATCTTCTTACTCAATCCTCACAATGGCTCCATGAGATAGACAGCATTATTCTTCCCATTTCTTAGGTTCAGAGAGATGAAATGATTTGTCTGAGCTCTCATAGCCTGTGAGTGGCAGGAGTAGGCTTTAAACCCAGTTCCATCTGATCCTCAAGCACAGATGCTAGTCTGCTTCTGTCCCACCACTGAGGGCCCTGGTGGACTCTGGTAGATCCCTGGTGAGCTGTTTAACTCTACTGTCCGCATTGTACAGAGAACAAAACAAAGCCAAGAGAGAACTGACTCATTTCAGGTCAAGAGCCTGACCCTTCCCAGGGCCCCTTCCATGTTCCCTGGTGTCTCCTAGGACTGAACTGTCAAAGTCACCCTGACACTCCAGCCTTCTTGTGCCCATGCGTGTGGCCTCACTCAACCCTACTCTCACAAACATTAAAACATTAGATCAAATATCCATAATCCCTGGCACCCTTCCCCTCTTTTGTTTTGTTTTAAAGAGACAGGGTCTTGCTCTTTCACCCAGGCTGGAGTACACTGGCAGGATCATAGCTCACTGCAGCCTCAAACTCCTGGGCTCAAGTGACCTGCCTCAGCCTCCCAAAGTGCTGAGATTATAGGCACGAGCCACTGTGCCTGGCTAACCCTTTCCCTCTTTACTCCTCCGCACTTTAATAACCCCAAATACCCCCATATACTTTTGTTCTCAGCTTCAGGCCAAGCCCTGGTCAGTTCAGGGCTGTCGCCACCAGGGGGTGGGCGGGCTTACCGTGTGAATGCCCAAGCCCTCTAGCATGTAGACCAGGTCCTCCGTGGCCAAGTTTCCTGATGCCCCCTGTGCATAGGGACAGCCTCCAAGTCCTGCCACAGAAGAGTCCACGACACTCACTCCCATCTGGAAACATAAGGATGGTGAAACACGGTTGGCACTGG